AGGAAGTTCTTTGATGTCGGCCACTGTTACCGACTAGCACTAATATTATCTTTTTATCTTTTTGTTCCTGATTTTTGTTCTTGATTAATGTTCTGAAGCTGACATGTTTTGGCAGACATTTTTTATCAATGTGCAGAAATGCTCGTTCCAATTAATTTGATCGCAGATTAGTGAGTTCGCGTCGCGGTTATCGAAGGATCTTGGGGGTTTTTGTTGAAAGATAAGAGCTCCCAGTGAGTTGGAATATTTATTTATTATACGAGCGAAACGCGAGATACTTTGTTAAACTCGATCGTGGAACAGAAGTTGCGCAAGAATAAATTCGTTCTCGAAGTTAAGAATATCCTCTTGCAGTTTTGCCTGCTGATTATCGCTTTTTCGGCTTTTCTCCATTTCTCGGTCGCTATCTTCTGTAACAGAAATTTAAGCGATTATGTTTAATAGTTATATACGGAGCATCGTATGGAAGTTTTGAAAAAGTTACTAATATTTTATCTGGCATTTTATTGTAGATGTAATCGAATAGCGAACTGATGTTCTATCAATGTAACTTTAATTTTGGTTTAACTTTCTCTCCTTAGTTCTAAACATTAGGAAGAGATGAAGAATAAATTAAATCGAAATTAAAGTTAATTTATATTGACAGAAGTGTTCATTAGGTGATAAAGAAAGATGTAAGTAAATATAAGAAAGTGCAGGATATAAATAGAAAGATCAGATATAATTGCATTCTCTTATTGAGTCTCATTTTCCACTTTTGTAGAAAGTAGATTCAAGGTGTCGTAATTTCAAGGCGGAAGCGGAATGCGTTACGGTAGAACGGCGATAATAACAATGATAACGTATTGTTGTCGCGCTCGACCCCGCGTAAATCGGCGCGGATATTTTACGGCAGCGCGAGCAGATTACAGGCTCAATTAGCATGAGGACTACATAATTAATAACTTGATTAATGCGTCGAAGCGGAACGTCTGTCCATTCGTGCTCGTCAGATCCGGCCTGCTGCGGCTCGCCAACTCGTGGATATCTCGCGTTTACGTCGGCAGTCGATTGCGTCGTAATCGATTATACTGCGTCGTATAATGTCGCTACCGATCGCTTATGCTTACCGCTCATCGCGTCGGCACGGCTCGCTTACGTTTATGTATGTTTAGGCCCGTTGCCGCGGGGCAAAACTCATTAGCGAGCCATTTCATATTCCGGAAGGGAAGTTGGACCGGCTGACGATCGGTTCGTGCACCGGTTAGCCATTAATTCCGGTCAATTGTCAGATACACCGTCAGATACATTGTCAATTATCACATTGAAAATCTGGCAATATTGAATGTCACGGCAGTCGGTCGTAGATGTCTATCAGCTGTGCATTATGCGTTTCGAATTCCCGATACGACGGCCACGAGGATCGTTGACAAACGTGTATGAATGTCATAAAATTTCAGAGATTTAACTCTCTCTCTCTCTCTCTCTCTCTCTCTCTCTTTTTCGTGATTGAATTTAATTTTTGTTAATTCTCCGCCGGCAACCTGGGGTCTTTAAAGTTATTGATATTTTGGTTGTGAATTCTGGTAAAATTTAATTTGTAAGAAATAGGGAAAATATAATCTGATTTATATAATGTAAAAACTTTTTATTAAAGTTTTGTCAACTGTATCAGAATTTTTTTACATATATAATCCGGAATAATAAAAAAATTGTTCTGTTTCTCGAAGATTCTTATTGCTGATGGAAGAGAGTTGAAATTTTAATGTCGCTAGGAGGGGGTTAAGTTTAATAAATAAGGAAGTTTAAACAAATGAAGTTGAAGTTAGTAAATAATAGATATAAAATTTCTAGAAAAGAGATTCTTTAGGTCTGTTCGCGTTGCCTTCATTTTTTGCACTCAATATTTTTCCTTTTTTTTCTCTCCATCGCCCGACTATGCATATATCTATCTGATTTTAAGTATATAATTTTTGGGAATTTCAAGCAACGCGAACAAACCTATTGTATCTTCTAAAAAAAAAATTCATAATTTGACCGAGAAGAACAGATTGAAAAACGTAATTGAGAATAATCTTATTTAAATATTAATTATCTCTCTCTGGGATCTCGTCAGCATGAGAACTGGCGTGGTTTCGTTTTCGTGAGACCGTAGCTCGAATCGAATATCGCCATAGTGCCTTGGGTACTTCCCCAAACAACGTTCTTTCCTAAATGTACCCGCAGCACAGACGCAGCAAATTAGAAAAACGAGCTACTTCCGTATACAGGTACTCCGTGGTGTATATCGTACATTTATCAACGGCGAAGACGGGGAGGCTGATCTCGAAAGACAAGCGCGATTGAGTTACGTTGATTTTATTCCGCATTATTCTACCCAGGAATCGCTCCTTGGCCGAATCAGTTTTATTTTCCGGGTTGCCGATATATACGCGCGTCGAACGGCAGCTCTCTGGCTGGCTCGCTGGCTGGCACGCCGGGATTAACGTCATTGCGGTTTTTAAGCAGGCAATTTCCTAATTCGGTGCCCGGGGATCCCTGATTTATCGCGCTTTTGCCAGTTATTCCGTACTGCCGGTGATTTACGACGGAGTTCCGTCTCCGCCCCGCTACTTCTTCTTCCTTTTCCTCTTCTGCTTCTTCTGCCGCGACCGTCCGCCGACGACGATGACGACGACGACGACGACGACGACGACGACGACGTGTCCTCTTCTTCTCGTTTCTCGTTCTTGTACGGGATCAGCCTTAGAGGGTGCATCTCGACGAAGTTGTATCACGTCGAGTTCGCGAAAAGTCCTCGTTTTTTTTCCCCCCTCAGAGATGATGCAGATCGCGGAACTTTGGTTTGAAGTGAACAAAGTTGGGATCGCGATTGCGAGGAAATCCTCCTCTCCTTGTATGGAGGATTCGCGTTCTGACAATTGTAATAATACAATTTGTGATTGTTTGAGATATTTTACAATTCTGTTCAAGTTTCCTTAAACTTATTTCGTAGCATACGAAATACCTACGTAAGTAAATTAATAATTTTTTTATACTCTACACACACGATAAGGTACTTTAATCTTTTAGCTAACAGAGAAAGATTTATTTACGTGAAATTAGACAAAATTTATGTGAGATTAGGTAGGCCTTTTTTAATTGCGAATAAAATAATTGACTATTGTAACATTAAGAACTGTTGCGATCTCGTTTCTCTTCTTCATTAAAACAAGCATCTACATAAAAAACGCGACTCCTTTTTTTTCCGCGCGGTAAATGCCACGCATCGCGTTTACCTGCATTTCGTGCCAGGACAAACAACATTACCGTTACTTGGAAGTTAATTAGATAATTAATTGGAAGTTGTTACGGAGGAGGCGCCACGTCCGCACGCAGCCGTGCGAAATTTCTGATAAATCATAGGAAGACGTGCGTTTCGGAAGAATGCAGTCTATGCGATTAGACGGCTCGAACAACGCGACGGTGAGATGCAATCCACCGCGGCGTTGTATGTACAATAATCAGTTAGCGCGTGGTTTCTGCCGCTCCTCCTCGATCGCCTCCATATCGCCTCGGTCCTTTCCCGCGCATTTATTTTTAATCAAGGGCTCAGAAGGTTACGAAGGAACCTTTACCATGATATAGGCTCTTCGAGGTTTTTGCCCCCTTCCTCGCCGGTGAATATGGCGAGTGGGTTCAACGTACGGCGTGCGTTTATCGAATGCGTGGATTTTCCAGTGCGTGTCTATGCGCGCGCCCGCACGTGGAATTCTGAGGCGAATCCTATGGGAAGTCTCTTCCTTCCGAGGGGAATTATAAACGACGGATCTTCTGTAAATGCGCGCCGCTCGATAATTAGTTCTAATCAACGTTTAATCGCCGACCGCCGCGCCGTAGCGAAGCGCGGCGCAATCAATGCGTTCCCATCAAACGCGCCACAGTTTTAATATCGCATGCGTGATACGTGTAACGTGCGTAAAAAAAAGCGTACGGATTTTTCGCCGTCTATTTTCACGGAGAAAAATTATGCGATTGCGACGCGAGTTGTGGATCTTCAATTTTTCCAGATGTGATGTAATCGACATTTATATTTCGTGGGCATTTTTAAGAAAAATAAAGCATGCTCCGATTAAATGGGGTAAAATAATAATATGTCCTACACGCGAGTTGGGATTCGGAGTTGGATTCGATCGCGATTTTTGTGACTTCGTTCGGCTGTACTTTCCGGGAAAACATGGAACTCTGATGTAAACTGCGCTTCGCACGCCTCAGATATTTCGCGTCGTTCTCGTCGTCGGCGAAAGTATATTTTTTCACGACTCGATGAAATGAACGGGTCCGGCCCGTTCATCGTTCCTTTGTTATCGTTGAGAGAACGTCGAAACTGTTGTTTCTCTGCGCGCAAAAACAGGGAGAGATGCGGGAGATGGAGGCGATTCACGGTGGACTGATCATCGCGCGAAAACAAGAGCAGCTTGTTTTCGCGGCAGGCAAACTTGATCGGTTTGCGTGCCGCGGAATACCGCATGCGAGTTTGCGTTAAAAAAAGAAAATACATCCGAAAAAAAAATATTCGGTTGCTGTTTCGTCCCCCCTGCGAATGCATCGGGAAAGAAAAAGGTCTTTCGAAAGATTCGTAAACGGAATTGAGGTTCTGTAGATATTTTGAAAATCTATAACGTCGCAAGAAAAAAAAAATGTAATCACTGACAAAAGCGATTACTCGAACTCTTTTAAAAATTTATGAGCTTAAACATTTTTTTTTTTTTTTCTTTCATATACTGCCGTTATATATATTTTTTTTCACTCTATTCCAAATTTTATTGTATTTTATTAACGTGTCTTTATTAACAAAAATTACGTTCATTAAATATGATGGAATACAGAAAAATTATTTTAGTGTTTTCTGAGGAAAATTATAGTTGCATGTATTTATACAAATCAGACAAGCTCGCGCTCATTAGGATACTCTCGGGAGGCCACCCTCTTTCGGATTCTCCTGCGTTGACGTTACTAAATGTATTTGTGCGTCGCGGAGGAGGGTGAGCGAGGGTGGAGCAAAACGCAAGAGTAGAAGGGCTTCGTGGAAGGATAGAGGG